TGGTAGAAATGTTCCTGCTGTGTGGGACACCCTTACAGCATGAGACGTGAGACTTGAGAGTCTCACATCATGCAGTTCATCCCTCACCACAACAGCCTTCCCACTGCTCATTCTCCCCTGCACGTGTCCATTACCCTCCAGTGAAAGTAAATCACAGTGACACTGACAGAGTGGCAGGTGACTTACTGTGAGCAAGAGCTGGACCTCACAATCAGCTGAAGCACTTTCAGGAAACCAGGAGATCCAAAAGTATGTCAAGATAAACGATTTATAATTAAAAAGTAGAAAGTAAAAAAACTTGCTCAGGTGTATGTAGACTGATTGCATATAAAATCAAAGAAGTGTTTGTATTTACTTGTAACCAGGTAGAGACATAAAGGCTAAAGTCACAGGATTTGTCTTAGACAACATGTGAGATAAACAATGGGAAAGCATCATGAACTAAAGAGATGAAGAGGGGTTTGGAGATCTCTTGGATAACAAGAAACTGCAAGGCCAACAGTACCTGGTTTACTACTAATACCTTACACAAGAAGATTGCTTAGGAAATGGTTTCAGAAGCACCAAATTTTAAAAGACAGAACAGATGTGTCAGATGCCATTTCTCTCTTAATTTCCCCCAAACAACATTGTATGATCCTCATCTGTGGTCTAGCAAGAAAAGGTAAAAGGAAACAAAATTTAAAAGAGAAAAAAAAAGGAGTAAAGGGGGAAACGGTATGAGAGACAGCAAGAGTACAAAGTAGCATGAAGAAGTGGATAAATAAATGTTGTAAAGGAACATGGAAGAATCTGAGGTAGGATAAAACAGGAAAAGAGGAAGAGGAGGGGGATAATTCTCTGCTTTGTCTAAAAAAAAAACAACAGACACCCCTGGAGGAAATTTTTATAGAAAAGTTCTTATAAAAAGATAATGTCTGTCATGAAAAGCTAATACATTTACATTTTGGCTCAGCAAGGATGATCATTTATTAGAGAAAGTCTGGTGTATCCTATAAGGAAGAATTGGCTGTCAGAACTAGACATGTAGGGAGTATCATGTGCAGTGTAGAGATGAAATTAATAAGCCTGACCAGAGGAAAGATCAACACTGACTGCTTTACATGTCCACTGCCCAATCGATGTCTGTATTAAGTGCTCTGATCTCCCAGAGGTTTTGGTGTCATGTCTCTCAGCAACAGAGAAAGGAAGGTAAGCCAGCACATGCCAGTGCTCTCCAAGGCAATAGGGAATTTTTTAAGAGGGTGAATATACTGTAACTGTGGTAGACTCTGCACCACCACCATCCCTCTTCCATGTGATCCTGTGAGATAGATGTTGGCACCTGCACTGGTCTTCTCTCTTGCTTAATGCCATCTATGGGCACAATGAATGTCTTCTTTATTAGCTGTACCAGAATCATAGAATGAACAGGGTTGGAAAAGATGTCTGAGATAATTAAGTCCAACCCTTGATCCAACACCACCATGGTTACTAGACCATGGCACTCAGTGCCACATCCAGTCTCATCTTAAAAACCTCCAGGGATGGTGAATCCACCACCTCATTGGGCAGTACTCAAGGTGTGGCCTCCCCAGGACTAAGTACAGGGGCAAAGTCACTTCGCTGGTCCTGCTGGCCATACTGTTCCTGATCCAGGCCAGGATGCCATTGGCCTTCTTGTCCACCTGGGCACACTGCTGGCTCATGTTCAGCTTCCTGTCAATCAGAACCCCTAGGTCCCTTTCTGCCTGGCTGCTCTCCAGCCACTCTGTCCCCAGCCTGTAGCGCTGCATGGGGTTGTTGTGGCCAAAGTGCAGGACCCGGCACTTGGCCTTGTTGAACCTCATCCCGCTGAAATCAGACAATCTCTCCAGCTTGTCCAGGTCCCTCTGAAGAGCCCTCCTGCCCTTCAGCAGATCAACATTCCCCCTCAGCTTGGTGTCATCTGCAAATTTACTAATGGTACACTCAATCCCCTCATGCAGATCATCAATAAAGATATTAAATAGAACTGGGCCCAACACTGATCCCCGGGGGACACCACTAGTGGCCAGCTGCCAACTGGATGCAGCTCCGTTCACCACCACTCTCTGAGCCTGGCCCTCCAGCCAGTTCCTAACCCAGCACAGAGTGCCCCTGTCCAAGCCGTGGGCTGCCAGCTTTTCCAGGAGAATGCTGTGGGAGATGGTGTCAAAGGCTTTGCTGAAGTCCAGATAGACCACATCCACCCACAGCCTTCCCCTCATCCACCAGGCGGGTCACATGATGATAAAAGGAGATCAGGTTGGTCAGACAGGACCTGCCCTTCCTAAACCTGTGCTGTCTGGGTCTGATCCCTTGTCCATCCTGTAGGTACTGTGTGATTGCACTTAGGATGCAATAACTTAGAAGAAATATTCCATCTCATATGGTATACACATTTTTATTAGATGTTTTCTGAAAACAGAATGCAGTACTATTTCTCTCCCACTCTTGTTTCTCTCTCCCCTTGTAATGCCTGGCATTTTCTTTCCATCTCTTGCTGATGATGCCATCAGTGGGCATAGTGTTTGCCAGCAGCAGAAAGGAAACCAACCTCCCTTTCTACCAGAGCTGTAATCTGAGCAGGTGGGACAAAACTAGCAGGGTACACCATCACCTCCCCCACAACAAGATTCCCACTGGGAAATTTCTAAGACTTGCAGTATAGGACTGAGGAAGTGGGGAGAACTGGCTGTGCTTTCTTCTGGAAAAAGAAGCAGCGTGCAGGGGAATGAGGTATATTCCCAGGCTGTCCTAATAATGAATGGACTCTAGTGATGTTTTTCCAGCTTAAGGCAGTGTCTCAAAGACTGGTCATCATGAAATTTCTTGAGGAAAAGCAGAATCTAGCTCAAGTTTGAACCACAACAGAATTTTTTTGCTGCAGTCAGGATATATACACCCTACGGTGTATATATTCTCAGAAATGAAGGTCACTGTGGCTCCTTCCCTCAGACCTGAGTTCCTTTCCAAAGGAAAAATTAATTTGCCAAGGAGTCGTGAGCATCCAGATCTTGTTCTGACAGGCAGTTGGGATGTGACCAGGATGTCCACCTGAAAAGAGGGACTGCAGCTGTCATCATGAAGTATGTTAATGTGATAAACAGTTTGTCCTTTCCGCCCAGCCTCCTGGTTCAGCATGCAGGATTGTCCTTCTGAAGCTTTCTGAAAGTGCTGTACCTGCCAGTATATCTTCACCTCTGCCTCCTGCTATGACATCTGCTACCTCCTGAATTAAGACAGACTTGAGAGGTAAAGACTGATTCTCATATGTTGAAGAAAGGTACCTCTTTCAGACAAATCTGTATCAAAGAGGGGTTCAGGAACCTCCCTTCAGCGATTCTGCAGGCAAAGCCAGCATCATCTCCCAAAATCCCTCTTTCGTCATGACATGTCAAGAAAAACTTTGTGTTCCAAATTTGGGCATGGAGACTGTGTCTAGCAAGTTACATTTTCTTGCAAACCAATCTCCTGGTGTAGGTGTTGCTCTGTTCCATACCACCTCCCAGGAGCCAGAACTGCAGCTGTCCCTAAAAGCTCTTGCAAAACATTGGTCACTCTGTGTGTCTTATCTGCCCCTTTTTCTTCCTTGAAACTGTGCTGTTGTGATTTCCAGAACTGATTTGGGGAAATAAAAAAGAGAAGTCATACAAAACAGAAGTTCATTGCAATATTTTTGTTTGCTGTGATGTTGGACAAAACAAAAAAGTTTTCTCCATTGTGAAAGTATCACAGGATCTTTAGAAAGTAGGAGACCAAGACCTTGCAATAGCCTAGCTTTTGATCCAATGGCTAAACCAGAAAACTGGCAAACACACTACTTCAGGTAGAAATTACACAAATTTGTACTCAGATTTTTGATGGGGGAAAAAAATCACCCCAACTTGATTTTTCAGGATGCATTTTTAGTCCCAAAGTGGAAATTACCAGCTCTTCAAAGAGCATGGATGTCATTGACAAAAGGGGAGGAACATACTGAGAGAGGTTTGGAAAATTTGAGGGAAGCAGAGCACTTGCTCAAGACTTCTCTGTGTCTGATTTGCCCTGATGCCTCTGATAGGGGTCTTCTACCCTTTTTTTGCATTAGAAATCCTTCCTTGAGGTCTCTGGCTTTTATACTTCTTGTTATATTTAATTTCTTTCTCTCCCCTTCATTGCCATGCCTCATCCTGCCACACATCTCAGCAGAATCTCCAAAATCCATCTCCTTTCTGTTGCATCCTGGACAAACAATGGTTGGCACTGAAAATGACCCAGCCTGCTCTGTTGCTCTCACATGTGATTCTTCCCAGGCTCTGCAGATGAACACTGGGTCATGCTCCTGGCATGACCAGCACACTCACAGTAATATTCTCATCTACAGGTGCCAAACATACTAAAAAGTTAAAACCTCCATGCAGGGAGGCTGGGTTGTGGGAATCTGGGACATGTCACTCAGATGACATCCTCATGCAAAGAGCAGAATTAACTTTTATTAATATGGGGTTTTTTCTAATACATCTAATACATGTTGAAGGAAGAAGGAAATATTAAAGATAAGCCAGAAATAATTTTTCCCTTCAGAGGAGGGACAATAACACCCCACTGAATCCTCCTCTTTCAAATTCTGCTCCAGTGATTTGAAGAACCAGTATCCTTTCATGAAACAGAGATGGCCTTTTCCACATCGAGATGTTGACTGTACAAGGTGTCAATGAAAGTACTGAAAATCAGGACCCTCATCTATGAAGGAGGAGAGTGAAAAGGGGCACAGTAAGTCCTTGACATCAGTCTGAGCTATTTCATCTAGGATTGATCTCCAGATTGGAAAGAGATGCAGACACACAGGCTGGGAACTCAGGTCCTTCAGATCTAGAACTTTATGACAAGCTTGCTCATTCTAAACTGCAAGATAAAGTATGTGTACGAGCTCAGGCCAGGTTTTCATCAGCTTTCATGAGCTGACCTTTCTCAAGGATGCTCCCTTGGATCCTTCATCCAAAGTGGAGCTTCCTTCTTCAGACAAATTTGACTGCCAGTTCACAAATACGATAACAACTTGTGAAGCAAAGAACATTATTCCAGTTACTGTAAGTGTTGGAGTCTCTCTTTCCCTTGACGTGAATTGCAGCACATCTTTCTGCAAAGAGTAAATTGGGTTCTCCAGGTTTCCAGAACCTGAAAAAGAAAGTTCCTCTGTTGGAAATACACTAGCATGCCTGACGGTGGAGGTGAAGTCACCTCAAACAGTTGTGGAAGAGAAAGGGAAGGTTACTGTGATAAGAATCAGGAGCCATAGTTTTGACTAGAAAACTAGTCAAGTTTTCTGACTTACAGGACAGTTGAAGACAGAAATCCCCATCCGATACATACCTGTCTTAGACAGTGTATTGGTCACTTGAACTGAGGAGAAGTGAATTACTGGACCTTCCCCACTTCAACAGAATACTCACGTGGCTATCTTCTCATATGGAGTCTGATCCACCCACTGCCATTGCCCATTTTGGTAAGAAGTTAAGCCTATGTAGTATTTTGTTTCATAGATGTTAGTAACTTTTTCTTTCGCCAAATTGAAGAGGAACTCCTGGAAAAAAGTACATTGTCCATGAGGTGCAGGACTGAGCAGAAGGAGTAATTAGGAGTCCCTGTGGGGTGGTGCTCATGGCAGAGGGGACCCGGTACTGCAGGGGTGCAGACAGGACATCCCCTCTCCCCTGCAGGGTGCAGACAGAACAATGCCCCCTCCCCCGCAGGACAAGGAGGAACTCTGAGTCCCCTCCAGGGCCCAGCACTGTGTCTATGGCTGCTTTGCCTCTCTCTCAGGCTTGTGCACATACCTGCTCTTCCCTGCTGTTGATCACCACCAGGTGGGAGCCCATCCCAGTGCAGTTCTGCTCACTCCCAGCCCAGGACATTGTATCAAGGGACAGAAAATAGCAGCTGTTTTGAAACCTTCTCCAGCCCTTTGGGCAGCACATCCAGCCTTCCACTGTGGGGGAAAAAACTTGCTTTTAAACAAGGTGTGCTGTCCTTCATCTCTGTGAGTTCAGTGTAGATTCCCAAGTGTTGAGGGGGGAGTTTGAACCACACCTTTACTCTGGGCAGAGGTAAATACTCTCTTCAGCACTTCAATAAGTAAAGCTGTCAACATCCTGACAGACTCCTGTCACAAGCCCCCTGCCTGAAGAGCCTTTCCCTTTCTCTAGCTGTTCTGCCACATCAGTGCCACCTCTGTTTGGTGAGAGACACGGTTTCTGCCTTACCCTTCCTGAGGAAGCAAGATGGGAAGTAGTTGATTTGCACTCCTATGGGAACCCTTTCATCAGAGAAGTATTGGCCGAGCTCTCAATTCATGCAGACTGACAGACATGTACAGTAAACTGCTTGCTGCCTTGCTGCCACCACAGTCAGTTCCTTAAACAGTCAGGTTATCCTAGAGATCTAGCTTATAGCCAGAAAGTCACATGATGGATTAAAAAGTAAGAGATATATTCTCCCAAAGTATGAGGCTACATGAGAACAGATTTCTGACCTGAGTTTCGGAACTTCCACTGCAGGCATTCTAGCACTTGATATTGCCATCACTTCATGTGTGATTCCAGTCCAGCTCTCCAGCTACTCTGAACACTTGACAATATCCTCAAGTCTCTGTCCTGCTCACTGACTATGATGCTTGTGTCAACAGGCAGGGAGCCAGAAAGGATGGAGCTGAACCAACCTGGACAAAAGGATGAAGCATTTTCAGCTAGATTAGTGAATCAGACTAACAGCTGAGGGGTTGTGTGAGCAGAATGCAGGTATGGAACATGTTTTCATGGCATCCTAAGTAAAATTGTGCAATACAGCATCTTCTTCCCTCAAATCCACATCTTCCTTCCTTAACACAA